AGCAAAAAGGTCAGCATCTCTAAAATGGAAAATAATCAAAGTCGTATTAATGGAAGATAAATTTAGTGATGAGTGCAAAACATCTATCCCTAGAAAGATGAAGAGCAAAGCTGGGTTCACAGATTTGCATTGCAGGGATCAAGTATTTGAATGTTCACTAGTGTTTCAACACTCCAACGACACTATCTTTCAAATTATTTAAGTGTATGTATCCGTGATATTTTAAAGGATGGAAAAAAAAATGATGCAGAAAAAATTGTGGACAGTCTTGAAAGTATTCTGCAAGTTAAATTAGCTTTTATCTTAATTGCAATTGTGAGTATAAATATTCCATCTTGAAATCTGAGTATCAAATTTTTTAATAAAAATCTATTGATTGTGATTGTCACCAAACTAGCAAATTATTCATATTTTTCCCCCTTATCAACTTAAGTTGACACTAAAAATAAACTCTCAGGGACCATATCACGTCTTATTAAAACTGGTGGGAAGCTTTGCTCACATAGAGCAATATTTGCCATGTACAATCATTTACTGCCTCTCTTTTTGTTTTGAGGAAGATTAGCTCTGAGCTAACATCTGCTGCCAATCCTCCTCCTTTTTGCTGATGAAAACTGGCCCTGAGCTAACATCCAAGCCCATCTTCCTCTACTTTATATGCGGGACATCTACCACGGCATGGCTTAGACAAGCAGGGTGTATGTCCACAGCCAGGATCCGAACCGGTGAGCCCAGGGTCGCTGAAGCAGAACTTGTGAACTTAACCGCTGCACCACCTGGCCAGCCCCAATGTCTCTCTCTTTTTGAAGTACTGAGCAAATAAAGTTGCAAGCCGAATCCAACAGAGCAAAACTGTTGGCAGGGTATGATAAAACGTCAGATTTGAAAATAGTAGATTTTGATTAAAACTTACTTTAAACAGATTTATTCAGCAGCGGTTTTGTATGTGTGAACACAATTAAAGACAATAATATTATGAGGTACATTCTAGAGTTTGGTGCCCCAATTTTATCTCTGTATCACTTTACTACTTTAGAGAAAATTCATAAAACCTTTACAATTAATATTAAAATAAAGACTTTAAGTCACAGAACACATTAATCTTGAAAAAAGATTGAGAAAAGAGCTGTTAAAGGTTAGGAGTCAGAATGGGAAACATTTTCAGCTGATTTTAGAAAAACAAATAAACAATATCATGATGCTTTTTATTTAATGACATGAGCAAGACTGCTTTACAACCACCCCCACTTCAATTTCCTTTTTTTCAACAGAAAGAAAATAAAAAATAAAACTAGAAGTGATTAGAATCAAAAAAAAATTTTTCTAACTAGTTCCTCCACTTTTCTTCATATGAAAAACACTAGCATGTAAAACCTTTTGATAAGAGGAAAATGAAAATGATATTTTCCTAAAGCTGGTGGACTAAAATTCTTTTGTATTGAAGGTAGAAAGAAATAAAAGACTCGATATTTGAATCAAATATTAAATTTCCTAGAGCAAGCTCATTGCTTCATGATTCAAAAGCAAGAAAGAGAAGCACAGGGAACATGCAAAGAATACACAATTGAATAATCTAAAATAAAATGCACCCTCTCCATCTGAAAAACTCACCACACACAATTCTAATAACAACAAAATGCAATTCAAAGTCACATTTGAAACTATGAATAAAAATGCAAAATATGTACTGCCTTCAAAGAAATAATATAGAACGTTTTCTACTGACTGCGTTCAAAGTTGGTCAACATAGGCCTGAATGGAAAATGTGAAACTGCAAATTGAAATTTTTAAAGGAAACTAAAAGACACGTGTAACAAACACTTTTAAAGTTGAATATTTAAAACATGAAGAGCCTTTGTCCTATAGAATTTTGCCCTCAATTTTGATAACTTATAGCACCTTAAGGGACAAATATAGAAAGAAAACCTTACTTGAGTAATAAGTGTATGAGAATATTAAAAAATTCAACTCAAAAAACATTTAATAAGCAATATATGTTAGGTCCAACAACTCCAATCAATGAGCGTTAAAAAGTAAAAGGTTCTCTCAATAAGTAACTTCAGCATAAAATAGCAGTTCTCACAGGTAAGGCAATATTCTGAAAGATAAACATAATACTGATTCAAAATAGGCTAAATCTAAATCTGATAGTTTACACAAAAAGAAACTTCCTAGGAATGTCCAAGAAGCAAATTCACTTTGCTCTTATTTGATAACATTTTTTAAACAAATATGCTTGAAAAATTTGCACAAATTAATGCATTTTCCTTTACTATAATTTCTCAGTTTGCCTCAATAAATCCATCTTATCAATTGGACCTTTCAGCTCTGAAAAAACCTAACGTAGCAATGTTCATAAGAGTACTACAGCCATGTCTGAACACGTCTTATTAAATTTTAATGGTAGAGACAAGCCATTATCTTACTTTGATAATAGTCTTACTTTCCATTATGAAAGAGATGAGCATTCTTTGGCCAATATAATTCTTAGGCTCAACATATTTTTGGTTTCTTCACTTTCTTTTTTCATTTAGCAAAGAAGCCAGAAGAGTGAAACACCCCCATTACTTTAATAAAATCAATATAATAAATTGTAGCTAGACAAATTCTGTTACAAAAAGCTATGCAGTAGTCTCTAGGCCCTACACAGGAGATGTCCATTTCATATTATTTCAGTAACCCTTTTTTTTTTTCAAACAAGGAAATACTTTCATTTAAATGCTCATGTTGAAAAAGGGTTGGATTTTTTGTTTGTAATGCATTCTTCCTAAGTAATGCAATTGATATAAAGGGCTAATTCCCACAAATATAACTATATATAACTATACTCTCTAATAAAGAAGCACAAGTTGATAAGCTTTCAGTTTCTACCAATGTGAGATAAAACACGTAATTTTCCCAATTGCATGAGATAAAAATTTTCACCCTCACTTGCTCAATCTGCACTTGCTACATAAGTACAATACACAGTGTATTACAGGTATATACTAGTAAGATCTTTACATATGTCAGTTTATATCTATTAAAGTTTACCTCAAGTATATATGGTCGCTTGGATTTTTCAGATTTACTTTTCTTACACAAAATGAAACGTTTCAACATAATACTATAATTAAATGTCAACAATGAAATATTTAACTTCAGGTAGAAGCACAATAAGTGAAAAAATTACACTTGGCTGTTATTTTAAAAAATGTTGAACTAAACAAGAATCTATTGTGGAGGAGGGGTGGCTATTATAAAATTTTCTACTTGAGCAATTCATCCTCCAAAGGCAGGCTGTCATATGCTACAAAAGACAAAAAGGGTTTTCTCTAATAAACACCTTTCTCTTAAAACATAATTGAAGTGTCCCTTAAAATGGTTCCAGGATAAAAGCCACTAGGCAATCATAACGATTAACGAGAAAGGTTTTTAAGAGAGACGTGGTTCAAATTCCTGGTCATACCACTTATAGAAAACTTGTGACCTTTGGCAAGTTTCTTACTCCCTTTTAGCCACAATTTCTTCATCTGCAAAATTGGTCATTGTGCTAAATAAGAGATAGCGAAAAAGGTATTATTAGTACTCAGCCTGGCACTTAGTGCGGGTTCAATAAGGTAATTACAATCATCATTGTCAAGACATATGGGGGTGGGGGTTCATTAGTGCAAAACTGCAAAAACTGCTATAGTCCTTGCTTTAAAACTCTTTTCTTGCTTGGTAGTATAACTATTGTTACTTTTCTGCTGTTCCCTTTCAGTGTACAGGACTCTACAGAAGAAGGAAAAAAGCAAGAGGGGGTTAAAAACCGAATTATTCAGGTAGCAAGAACCTGAACTCAGGCTAAACTGTGTGTGATGCAGAATCTGTCAGGGGACCATCATCCTATCTTGCAAACATCTTACCGATTCCCGAGCCGAGCTGAGGCGGAGTGAGGAGGATACTTCCAGGCACACGCTTTTAAAACAAAATCACTTCAGGCAAAAGAAAACTCTAGCACCCAAGACAGTCCTAAAGATGATGAGTTCCTAAATGTTTGTTGAATGAATCAAGAAAGCCGTACATTTCAGACCGAAACTAACTTTTGAGGAAAACCGAGTTATTGTACAAAATTCTCATTTTCTTTTCTGACCTGGAGTTCCTTTCCTCACCAAGCGCTCAATCTTTACACCTTTATCTTCACTTATTTAAAAAATCGAATGAGATAGGTATTATTATCCCTAAATTAACGAAAAAGGAGTGAGCTTTAAAAACGGTTAGGTAAACTGCCTAAAGTCATCCGGCTTGTAAGATACAGAGGCAGCCGGGATTCGAACTCACACTACTAGGACTCCGAAGTCCAAGCTGTTTCCGCTACACCAAAGCTTGCGCCTGCACTTGGCTCGCTACACCGTCCGGTAGAGAGAACATTTATTATTAAGCCTTTTTTTTTTTCCCCCTTCTTCTCTCTTGTCAACCCTTCCATTTCACACCACCTCCCAGGCTGGGCTATAAACTCGATCCCACAACAGGCAAGGTGCACTCAGTCTACGAGCCGGAGTACAGGCCCGAAGAACAGAAATCTGTTGTATTTTCTACGCCGAACGGAGGTCTGGCGCCACCACCACAAGCGACAAGCACAGGCTGGGGTCCAGCGAGCCTGCAGACCGCGCCCAGGTCTCAAGTTTTGGTCAAGGCCCACGTTCCGGCCCGGAGAGGGGAGCAGAGAAGGTTAGCCTTTCCCGCACCGTCGCCACGGCGGGAGCTCGGAGGACAAGGTGGGAGTCGCAGGAAGAGCGCAAACGATAACCCTAGAGCCCCTCTGCGGCCCGTTAAACGCACTTACTTGAGCGAAGTAATTCCAAGACACAAGGCCGGCACCGGCAACGGGAAGGACTCCACCGTCCTCCAGCCGCGGGCGCTGACGCTGACGACATCGGGGCCGCGCCGGCAGGAGCGAAGGCCCGGCGCCAAGCCACGAGCCCCGCGCACGGAGCGCGCGCTCACGGCGGGGGCGGGGCCGCACGGCGGCGCCGCCTTTACGCGTCACGGGCGGGGCGCTGCTGCTGGGCCCTGGCGTTTGAACATGTCGCGCTTGAAGGGAGTGGCGGACCGGGATTCCCGAACGGGTTTCAGAGCTGAGAGGAGAGACTGCGGTGCCTCGGTTCCCCAGGGGCTGTTAAAGGCGGCGAGGAAGAGTGGCCAGTTAAACTTGTCCGGGCGGAACCTCAGCGAAGGTAAGATGCCCAGGATCGGCCCGATTGAGTGGCTTGTCACAAAGCAGCCTCCCTTTCCTCTGGCCGGACTTTGGCCCCTTTGCCCCGGGCTCCCAGCCGGGATTCTCGCGCTCCTATTCAGGCACTCGTCACACTGCCAGTGGCTCGCTTAGCTCGATTCAGGTCCTGCTTTCACTCCAGGAATCTCTGGCGAAGGGACCCTGCTGGGAATATGGCCAAAATTGAAACGGGGCTCTGTCTGGGATTCCCACATCATGTGGGTTAAACAACGTAATGTGTGACTAAATTAGTTATCACGTGATGGGCAAGAACTTTGTTTCTTTAGCCCTCATCTTCCTCCTCTTAGTTTGATCTCTTAGGGCTAACACTGTGGATTGATCTGTTCCTTTGGGAACTTAGAGTGAATGCCACTCTTGCCTGCCAACACTCTTCTGGATGCAACTGGGCAGAGGCCTAAATAAAAAAGAATAATCACCGTATTTCCTAAATTGAGGATCAAGATAGATGCAATACAAAGTGAATTTGGGGCCATCCTGAAAAACCTAGTAAAGATCAACAAGCACAAATCTGGACGCCATGAATGAATCATAGCCAGATGCTCTTCTGATTGTCTGCCCTGTAAAGGAGGGAGTAGAAAGTGGGGGGAGAGAATATAGCATTCCTCCTGTAATGTTTTCCTCTACTTATATTCAGGTTTTTGGCTATCTGGGGTTAAACCTTCCATTTTCCTTCTCCTTATTGCTTTTTTATTGTGCCACAAACAGATTAGACCAAGCAAAGGAACACTTGCTTGAATGAGTGAAAGGATACATGACATAAAATCTCTGCTCTACTTGCAAACACTTTTAATCCACAGGAACATAGATATTTTAAAACTACAGATGTGCGTAGACACTTACTTGTCCCAAAGCCTGGAACAGACTCTGCTCAGAGGTCACACCTCAGAGAGGCCCCTTACTAACTACCTTATCTAAATACCATTGTTAACACTGTTCTCTTGCCTGTTTAATTTTTTAATAGCATCCGTCACTATGAGAATTTATATTATGTATTTGTTTGTTTTTCGTCTTCTCTGTCCTCATGAGGTCAAGGAGCTTTGTTTTGTTCATTGTTGTGTCCCTAGCACCCAAAATAGTGCTTGGTACATAGTAGATTCTTGTTAAACATTTGTGGGAGGAATACGTAAATGAATGAATATTCCTAAATACTAAGTGATGTTTTGGACTGTGCTTATTGATTGGACCCAGATGATTTAGTCTGTTGAAGTTTTGGAGAGCAAATGAATTTTGACTCTTAGCTCCATGATGATATGGATCTGGGCTGTTTAGGTTGTTATTGTATAAACAGAGTGTGACACAATACCTGGCACATACGAGGTACTCAATAAATGATGTTGAATGTGTGAATACAGTATTTCATAGGAGAGAAAAGACATAAATGGAAGAGGCACATGGTATGTGTAGCTTATGTATCACAAAGGAATCTTTGTAACATAGAAAGTATTTCTCTATCTAGCTGTAGCCTTCAATTTCATCTCTTGTCACTTAACCTTTGACACCCAAACCGCTGTAATTCTCAATTATTTATAGTCCCTTCTGGGGCCATGCTCCTTATCTCCATATCTTTGCTCATGTAATTTGAGATGCTTAATCTCACTGTGCCTTCTCATCTATAATGTGGTAGTAATAATAGGACTTACTAAGGTTTAAATGAGATAATACACGTTAAGTGCCTGGCACATGAAAAATACATAGTAAAAATTGGCTATGGCTGTTATCATTGCAATAGCCTCCTAAGTGGTTTCCTGGATTTCTTGTTTTAAATCTCACCCTCTAAATCAGTGTCATTACCAAGAGTTATCTTTCCAAAACACAGATCCATTATGTCATTCATAACAATTTATGACTCCCATAGCCTGCAAGATTCAGTATAAAGTTTTTAGTACAACATACAAAAGCCTTTTGAAATCTTGCCCCTAAGTACCTACAATGAGGGCTCCCATCTCTTTTCAGAATCCAATACTTTACCAATAACAACAATACCAAAAAACATCTTTTCTCCAAAGAACCATACATTAAGTCTTTTTAGAACAGTTTTACCTTTCCAGGAAATTGAACAGATAGTACAGAGAGCTGCCATATACACCCTTTCCCCAGCCTATAGTTTCCCCTTTTATTAACATGTTGCATTAATATAGTACATTTGTTAAAAGTGATGAAACAATGTTGATACATTATTATTAATTAAAGTCCATAGTGTACATTACTATTCACTCTTAGTGTTGTACAGTTCTATGAGTATTGACAAATGCGTAGTGTCATGTAGTCACCATTACAGTCTCATATAGAATAGTTTCACTGCCCTAAAAATCCCCGGAGCTCTACCTATTCATTCCTTAGCCTGCTTCCCCTGAAGCCCTGGCAGCCACTGATCTTTTTACTCTTTCTGTGGTTTTGCCTTTTCCAAAGTCATATAATTGGAATCATATAGTATGTAGCTTTTCCAAACTGGCTTTTTCCACTAAGCCATATGCATTTAAGGTTCCTCCGTGTCTTTTTGTGGCTTGATAGTTAATTTCTTTTTATCACTGAATAATATTCTATGGTATGGATGTACCATTTTGTTTATGCATTCACTTTTTGAAGGACATCTTGGTTACTTCCAGTCTTTGGCTATTATGACTAAAGCTGCTATTTGTGTTCAGGTTTTTGTGTGGATGTACTTTTTCAACTTATTTGTGTATAAATCTAGGAGCACCATTGCTGGATCACATGGTGGGACTATGCTTAGCTTTGTAGGAAGTTGCTAGCCTGTCTTCCAAGGTGGATGTACCATTTTGCATTCCCACCTACAATGAAAATTCCTCTTGCTCCACATCCTTGCCACCATTTGATATTATCAGGTTTTTGGAGTTTAGCCCTTCTAATAGGTATGTAGTGGTATTGCATTGTTGTTTTAATTTGCTGTTCCCTAATGACATATGATGTGGAACATCTTTTTATATGCTCCTTTGCCATCTGTATATCTTCTTTGGTGAAGTGCCTGTTCAGATCTTTTGCCCATTTTTTAATTGAGTTCTTTCTTTTCTTACTGTTGAGCACATTTATCCTTTATTCATCTTTTTTATGCCATATGTCTCTGCTTAATAACTGATGGTTCAATGAGTAAGTGCCATGTAGAAGTAAGCCAGTGGCCTGTTGGTTATGGTTCTTAAAATCTCTGTTATTTGGGGGCCAGCCCAGTGGCAGAGTGGCTAAGTTCACACACTGTGCTTTGGCAGCCCAAGGTTCCCTGGCCTAGATCCCAGGCTCTGACATATGCACCACTTGTCAAGCCATGCTGTGGCAGCAGCCCATATACAAAGTAGAGGAAGATGGGCACAGATGTCGGCTCAGGGCTAATCTGCCTCAAAAAAAAAAAACAACAACAAAAAAACCTGTATTATATGAAGTATAGATAAAAGCTACAGAAGTTTGTGGGTTTTCTGACATAATGAAGGTAATTGCAGAAAATGATTGTCATTCTCTTTTCTGGTAAACTTTTACTAACTTGTTTCTTGTACTGGTCTACACATTATTATACTTTTATACTGATTTTTTTAAAAAGTCCTCTCATTATCTTTATTATTATCCCCAAATATTATTACCTAAAATTATGAATTACATTCAAAAAGTATTATCAAACATGGCTTCTTTCAGATTACTGTCGATATGTGAGAGATGTTTTATATGAAAGGTGTGAGATGAATATGAGTGTTTGTATGCTATGGGGAGTTACCGATACTTACTTAAGCAGCATTTGTTATATACCTACTGTCTATGTTTCTTCCAGATATTGTGCTCGGTACTGAGGAAGCGAAATGACACTTCAAACAATTCATAGTCACATAAGCATTTTAACATAAGCTTTATTCAAATTTGTTTATTAAGAATTGCACCTGTTAAACAAATAATACCTTTTTATATTATACTGTGTCTTTCTTTCCCTCCTTCGTATTTATACAATCATATAAATGTATTTGTAAAGTACAGTCATGTCCATTATTTCTACATTGGAGAAATAGAACCTAGCCTTTAATTTTGATGTGTATAATAAAAAGCAGTTAAAATTCTGTTGATTCTTGTTCTTAGATAGTGGCCTCCTTAAATCAGTTCTTCTTAATGGAAACACTTAAGAGCAGTGATATTTTTATGAAATTAGTGAGATTTTAACTTGATAGGGTTGTTAACTAGTGCAGAATAACTTTTACCTGTAACTGAAATTTGGGTACTCTTGAGGGTTTTTAGATGCCCCTTCTTATTTATTTATTTATTTATTTGTTTATTTATTATTATTATTATTATTATTGTGCTGGGGAAGGTTCACTCTAAGCTGACATCTGTTGCCAGTCTTCCTCTTTTTTTTTTTACATCTCACTGTGCCTTCTCATCTATAATGTGGTAGTAATAATAGGACTTACTAAGGTTTAAATGAGATAATACACCACTGACATGGCCACTGACAGACAAGTAGTGTGGTTCCCTGCCTGGGAACTGAACCTGGGCCACTGAAGTGGACTGCGCTGGACTTTAGCCACTAGGCCTTCAAGGCTGGCCCAATACCCCTTCTTTTTATAGGTTATAGTTCTTTTGTGAACATACCATTTATTATTTTCTTCTTTATAAAAGCCTTATGTCTACTACAGAAAAAATAGAATCTATAGAAAGTATAGAAAGTGAAAATAACCATCCAGAGTTAATCACCATTGATATTTTGTAGATTTCCCTTCTATAGTTCTTTGTGTGAATATGTATGCATAATTTTTCTGTTTTTTATTTTTAGAATTGTACTGAGTCAGACTTCTATTTGTACATTTTTCACTGTCACTTGAAAAATCTGATTATTTTTAATGGCTCTGTAATATTCCATCTTATGACCACTATAATTTACTTAAACATACAAATATTGTTGGCAGTTTAAAGTCACCATTGTTAGTGTCAGTTCTATAACTTACTTAGAAA